TTGTGTCCAGGTGTGTCAGAGTTCACTAAGGACCTCAAGGATCTCGGGCAGGGCTCACACCCAGACTTTCTCAAATGAATATTGATTATGTGCAGTGTGGAAGAGTCGGCCCTGATATGCCAGAGTTCAGAGAGATCTTAGGGACCTCTAAGCAGTATACATACCATAGGGGCGGGACTTAATAACCAAAGAATAAGTGAGAGTGTTTGACATGATTTGAAAGAGTTTTGGTAAACAATATGGAGAGGATTCTTAGAAGTAAATAGGTATTCTGAAAAACCAGTACTGATTTGGAGGTAAAAACAGCTTGAGAAAAAGTATGAGAAACACTTCTAAGTCAAACACAAATCACAGAACAACCATTATTCAGAAACACTTGGCAAGCAGGTTCCACAAAAGGAAAGAGGGGTTGGGGACACATAGAATACACCTTAGTGTATAGTGGAGCACATAAACAACAGGGTGCATGGAATTCTCAAGGGGTTCTACATAACTAATAGGTTAGATATAATGTAAGTCATTGAAACATGAAGCAAAGATCATAGCAGAAACATGTTGAGGACACATAAACAACACAACTAGAGTTACCCTGGAGAGACTGGATAACATAGCAGGAGTAAGGCAGAACAGGCAAGAACTTAAATGGACAAACTAGGCAAGTATCAACAAGTGTAGACATGCTAATCACACACTTAACAAAATAAAGTTTAGGCATGCTCGATAAACAGTAGTAAGGCAAACAGGCTAATCACATATAGAGCAAGACAGTGTTAGACATGTTAAACAAGATAGTAAACAAGCAAGTAAAGTGGAGACATGCTAATCACATATTGAACAAGGTGTATTAGGCATGCTAGATAAGAAGTAAACAGAAGCAAGAATGGACTCAAGACTGATGAACTAAGGCAGTAAATAAACACATAGGTTTAGATTCTAAAATTTAATCATAGGCATACCAGTTAGGGAAAGAGAACACAAGATGTAAGATAGGTGTTGTGCAATTTCCAGCCTTGGCTTACAGCCGGCTAGACTAATGAAGATCACAAGTAGCAGGAAGAACAGAGAACTTTTTTAGAGTGTAAGAGTAGTTGATGAACTAATGTTTGTCTAAGAAGTTAGATAAAAGAGTTTATATAGTAGTCCAAGAGTAGAGCAAATAAGGTAAAGTAATCAATAATCAGCAATTGAGGAATCTCAGAATCAATCACACAAAGAGGTTAAGCATAGTCTTCTCCTTTAATTGAGGAAAATTAGCCAACGGTAATGACAGGAACTAGTTAAGGCAAGAGGTTCAATCAGACTGAGTAAAGAAGTAAAGAATCAGAGGCCTTATTAAGGAAAGGAGTTCAAATCAAACCAAATAAAGAACTTCAGAATAAAATAATCAAGGGTTTAATTAAGGAAAGAATCATGTAATGAATCAGTAAATATACAGCAGTCAAATAAGGCAAGAACGACCAATTAAGGTCATACACATGGAAATAATCAAGAATCATGCACACGAAATTCTGACAGAGCAAATCACTCAACAATTCTGGAAAGAACATATCAATTCTCATAAACAAAATAGGTTGAGTAAAACTTTTAGGAACACATAGAATTTAGACGAAAAATAATTCAAAACCTTAATTTGAAAACGCTTAAAGAAGGAATACATCCATGGAAAACTTGAAAGCATGTCAACACACAGAGGTTTGAACAAACAGAAATCATAGAAATCAAAACCTGGAATAGTGTAGTGTTTAAAAACCGGTTAGTAGTAGAGAAGTAAAAGAGCCTAAAAGAATAGCCATGGAAGTTTGAAAATACTTCAGATACCCAGAGGTTCGACCAATAAACAACAAGAAAAATAAACCCTAATATAACAAAATGTTCAAAAATCGATTAATCTGTAGAGGAATAAAGGAGCCTTAAGGAAAAAGCAATGGCGAACTCAAATCATTCCAGATCTACAAGGATCTGGACGGATTCAAGTCCAAACGCTAAGTTTTGAAGAAAAGAGAGAGGGTAAAGAGAAACTGGCCCTTGAATCAAAGATTTGAGCCGTGAAACTTTGATAGAAAGCACTCACAGACCATCAACAGGCTCTTTGAAGAGTTTTGAATGAGATCCGGACCAGATCTCTTCGAGGTCCTTCCACGAAACCACACAATCGAGCAACCAGGGGAGATAGGAGACAAGTAGAGGCCTCGTATAACCATGGGAAGCCATAGATTGGGTAGGATAGGGGTAAGTTTGGTTTCAGAGAGAGTTGGAGAGGAGAGGGTTTCAGGGGCGGCGGGTGTAAGCAAGTAGCTAGGGTTTGGGGGTCGTTGGGACTAAAAAAGGAAAGGGGTGATGGTGGCCGTTGATCTCTGTGATCAACTGCCAGGATTAAAAGGGTTTGGGGGCCGGGTTGGATGTTATGGGTTTGGGATGGGTAGATTTGGGCTGGTTTTTTATTTAATTTGGATTTGGAGGGTGTTTAATTTAGGCTAAAATCCGAAAATAAGAGGGCCATTTATTAAATGCCCATTTAATTGATAAAATAATTTTTAAAAATAACTAATAGGTTGTAAAAAATGATTTTCATGCCTGGAAATATTTTAAAATAATTATTTAATATTTTAAAAATATAAGAGGATATTTTCTAGTAAAATAATATAATAATGCATGCATAGGCTATAATTGCAAAGTTATTGTAATTGCTTCTAAAAATACAAATCTGGCTATTTGTGCAATTATTGAAACTTAGTACAAATAATTAAGCCAAAAAAATTATTATAAAACTATTGGTGATGCAATCGGTGATTGTTTTATAAATAAAATGCTGGGAGAAATTAATTAAAATATTTTAAAAATGCAAAATTGTATAAAAAATACTAATTGATGCAAATGCATAGTTTTTAAAATATTATGGGAAAAATTGGGTATCAACATGGAGCAGTTCATATTTTATTAAATATTATATCCCATAAGAGAATCCCAAATATTTCTAGATATTTTTTAAAGAAAATTCTATATAAAATCTTAAAAGTATATATAAAAATTATATATTTAATGCACTGCCCAGGTCCCTCTCTTCTCTCACTTCTCTCGGCGCACGTTAGAGTGCATGTGCTAACGTACGCTACTAGCCATGGGGAGGGGACGACTGAAGAGAACTGCAACTGCGATACAGGTAACTGATTATGCAAGAACGAGCACTCTAATTCTGAGGAATGAGAGCAATTTGGAAAGACATCAAGGGGAAATTCCAATGGAACAGTGGCCGCCATTGTCAACCATGGAGGAAGCTATGAAAACTCCACTAGATAAGGGCAAACATAGTGGTAAAGTAATTGCTGATGGTCCGATGATACATGCAAGCCCAAATGTAAGGAAAAATGTGACAATTGGTAAGAGTACTGCACCAATTACTGGCGAACTCGGAGTAAAAGGGAATACAACAGCGATAACTCAACCTCAAGTGATTTTACCTACTGTTGAAGCTGATAAGGGGCAGAAGCAGTGGGCAAATTTGTTTGTGGGATCGAAATTTACGGAAAAAGGTATGGATCTGAGCTTTATTGCACCAACTATCAAAAATGGCGAGGTGATTGTGGAGCTATGCAAGGAAGAAATTGAGAAGGAGACTCAGAAATGGAAACAAACGCTAATTTTGTATGTTGTTGGAGGAAGTCCAACAATAGGTGCCATAGAAAGGTACATTGCTTCGGTATGGAACTTTGTAGCCAAGACTAAGGTGTATTTTCACAATGATGGCTATTTTGTGGTTCGTTTCAATTCTATTGAAGATAGGGATGAAGTACTATATTCAGGACCTCACATGTTGAATAACAAGCCTATCATTGTCAAAATGTGGTCTGCTGACTTTGATTTCAATAACGAGGTACTCCAAACTATACCAATGTGGGTTAAATATCCTAATTTGCCTTTGAATTGCTGGGGAAATAGGTCACTAAGCAAGATAAGCAGTGGTTTGGGAATTCCTCTATATGTTGATGCTTGTACTACACAAGTGGATAGGATTTCATATGCAAGGGTATTGGTAGAAATGGATGTTACTAAAGAGTTTCCTAGGTCCATCAAGGTGACTGATCCTAATGGAAGGGAGTTTATCCAGGAAATAGCATATGATTGGTTCCCTGAGTTCTCTACAAAATGTATGCAAGTTGGCCACCGATGTGGAGTTGATGAACAGCTAGGACCAAAATTGAAGGCTAAGAATGCAAAACAGAAGTTGGAATGGCAACCTAAGCCTGCACCCAAAGTGCAGGAAACAGTTGTTAAGGAGAAATCGAAGTTGATAGAGCATAGAAATGAAGGGAATGCTAGCTCTAGTACATTAGTTGCTAGTGCTGATGCAGGAGCTCTAACAGGAAATGAAGAGCAAAGGTGGCAGACTGTTATAGGAAAGTCAGCAGCTAGAAACAGAGAGAGATAACCAGTTGATGTAGTTAATGTGCTTAATGGATTTAACCTTCTCACAGAATCTAGACTGCAGCTAGCCATGCCAAGACAAATGGAGGAACGAACAAGTAGACAGCAAGGTAATACTGGGCAGGAAGGGACTATGCAACCCCTTTTCATACCTCTATGAAGCTAGTAACTTGGAACATAAGGGGTTTAAATAAAGCCCCTAGACAAAGAGGTGAAGTGGTTCATTCGTAGTAATAAAGTACACATGATTGCATTATTAGAGCATAAAATAAAAAAGTAGAAGGCTGTACAAGTAATAAGGAAAATTACACCAGGATGGGCATGCTTAGACAACTATGAATATAGTAGTAGAGGAAGAATATGGTTGCTATGGGACTCAAGTGAAATAGAATGCATAGAGGTGTGTAGAACTGCTCAAATTATACACACTTCAGTTTATATTAGGAGGTTGGATATGATGTTCACTTTTACAGCTGTATATGGTTTGCATAGTGTGGAAGATAGAAGAAGTCTGTGGGGAGAACTGATAAGATTACACTCCATACAACAAGGGCCATGGTTGATAATGGGGGATTATAATGCTATTAGATCAGGGGGAAGATAGACCAGTTGGTAATCCGGTACAAGAACTGGAATTCAGAGACTTCAATGAGTTTATTGAAAGTACTGGATTAGCAGAAACGAAGACTAGTGGAAGGAGTTTTACATGGACAAATGGTCACACTTATAGTAAGATTGATAGAGCTTTGATTAATGCTGAATGGATGCTGGCCATGCCACATTTAGAGGTATGGATTATGGATCCACATTGCTCTGACCATTCACCACTGAGTATAGCACTGGAGGAGAATGAAGACTGTAGTCCTAAGCCATTTAAATTCCTAAATCATCTAGCTGAACATGATGATTTTATAAAGCTTATTAATGAAGCATGGGAGGGGCCAGAGGAGCAAAACAGTATAAGGAGTATTTGGCAAAAACTAAAAAGAGTAAAACAGGCTATGAAGGTGTTAAACAACAATGAGTATAATGTTGTTGGTGATCAGATCAAGGTGTGTAGACAAAGATTAACTGATTTGCAAGAACAAATGAGGGATCCTGGTCAAGATGAGGCCTTAGTAGCTGATGTGAAAGAGATGAAAATGCAGCTAGAGAAATGGCTAGGGGTGGAGGAAAGCATTATGAGGCAGAAGTCAAGAGTAAAATGGCTAAAGCTAGGTGATGCCAATACAGCATATTTCTTTGCAAGTATGAAAAACAGATGCAGCCAGAACAAGATCAGAAGATTAATAAAATGTAATGGGAATACAGTGCAAACAAGGAAGGACATTGAGGAGGAGGTGACAGGGTTCTATCAACAACTATTAGGCTCATTAGCAAATGAGTTGCCTGCTATTAGCCAGCTGTCATGAGAGATGGTCCTATGGTGAATAGAATGCAACAACTGCAACTGATAGCAGAGGTATCAAAGGAGGAGATTTATCATGCTCTAAAAGGCATCAGTGACAACAAAGCTCCTGGGTGTGATGGTTTCAATGCTTTATTTTTCAAGAAGGCTTGGCCTGTAGTAGGAGACACAATTACAGATGCAGTTATGGAGTTCTTCTCAAGTTCAAATATGTATTAGCCTATAAATTGTACAACAGTAACTCTTGTTCCTAAGGTGAAAAACCCTTCTAAAATTACTGAGTACAGGCCAATATCATGTTGCACAATACTTTACAAGATTATATCAAAGATTCTAACTAATAGATTACACGGAGTGATGGATGGGCTGGTGGATAAAAGTCAGTCTGCTTTTGTTCCTGGTAGACTGATAAATGACAACATAATACTTAGTCATGAGTTAGTTAAAGGATATGGAGGAAAGGTGTTTCTCCTAGATGCATGATGAAAATAGATATGAAGAAGGCTTATGACTCAGTTGAATGGGGTTATCTAGAATAGGTGTTGACATATCTGCAACTACCAGGGAGATTTGTGCAATGGATTATGAGCTGTGTAACAACAGTCTCATATTCCATTATAATTAATGTGCAGCCTACAAGGCCATTTCAAGATAAGAAAGGATTGAGATAGGGAGATCCCTTATCACCTTACCTATTTGTATTGGTTATGGAGTATCTGACAAGATTATTGAAGACACTCAAGAGGGACCCTAACTTCAACTACCATCCTAAATGTGGAAAAATGAACATAGTGCAATTGAGTTTTGCTGATGACTTATTACTATTCTGTCGAGGTGATGCTATATCTATTCAGCTACTATTTCAGTATTTTCAGCAGTTCTCAAAGGCTTCAGGGTTAGTGAAAAATGCTGATAAAAGCTCCATATTCTTTGGTGAAGTGAATGATGATCAACAACAGGAGATCTTACAAGCTCTGGGCTTTGTCAAAGGAACATTACCAGTTAGGTACTTGGGAGTACCTCTTAGCTCTAAGAGGTTGTCATTGGTGCAGTGTCAGCCTCTGCTTGAAAAGATGCTAGGGAGAATCCAATCATGGACATTAAAGTTCCTGTCCTATGCAGGAAGAATTCAGCTAATCAAGAGTGTGCTATTCTCTATTCAAGTATTCTGGTCTCAGGTGTTTGTGGTGCCAAAGAAACTGATCCAACTCATTGAAAGAGTATGTCGAACATTCCTATGGACTGGGGTGTAGAAGTATCAAGGAAAGCTCTACTGTCATGGGACAGCTTGTGTAAACCTAAAGCAGTAGGTAGCTTAAATTTACTTGATATAGAGGCGTGGAATAAGGCAGCTATATGTAAACTCCTATAGAACCTATGCAAGAAAAAAGATAAGATGCGGGTGTAGTGGATACATGTGTATTATAAGAAGCAGAATTCATTGTGGAGCATTGAACCAAAACAAGCTTCTTGGATAGCACAGAAGATTCTTAAAGCCAAACAATATTTTGAGGAAGCTGGGTATACAGAGGAGGATGTAGATGGGATAAGAATCTTTTCTATTAAGACTATGTATATGAAACTTCGAGGTGACTTTGCTAGAGTACCATGAAGGAAACTGGTGCACAACAATGCTGGACTGCCAATATAGAACTTTACAGTATTCCTAGCTGCACATTGAAGGCTGCTGACTAAAGACAGATTGAGGGGTTGGGGTTATATGGAAGATGTAACATGTTCTTTATGTAACACTGAGGAGGAAACCATTGATCACTTGTTCTTTAAATGTCCTTATTACTCAAGAGTATGGACAGCAACGCTGCAATGTCAAGGGATTCAGAGGCAAACAATGACGTGGGCAAATAAAATTGAATGGGCAGGAAAATACTATAAGGGGAGGAGCACAACAGCTGAGTTGTATAAACTCATCCTAGCAGGCTACACATGGCAAGAGAGAAATGGCAGAATTTTCAAAGGAGAACAGCAATCAGAAGTAATATTAAGCAAAGCAATAACGCAAGACGTGCATGGGCGAGGAACTAGTAAACAGCGGCTACAAAGAAGATTGATGGAGCTTAACTACTATCCTAATGTTCAATGAAATGTTCTTGTAGTTAGTAGTTAGAACTGAGGCCAGGGAAATGAAAGCTAAAATCTGGGGCTTATGTCCAGATTAAGCTCGACTGCAGGTTGTAAATATTTTTTGAGGAATGAAAGTTCTTTAATTACCAATATATATATATATATNTTCTATCAATAAAATCTGTGAGAGAGCAGAAGCATATTGGCTTAAGTTTCGGACGAAAAACCAAAACACCAATTGATAGCATATTATATCTAAAACAAAAATGAGACCATAATAGTAAGGCTCTGAAAACCTTACACAAGACCAAAAAGTTTCCAAATTTCACTCCTATTCTTCACCTTAGCACATCTTGAATTCCTCAATCAACCATTGGATTGTTGATGTTGAAGATGCTAGCTATTTCTGATTCATGTTCCAAGAAAAGGGAGAATAACTGAAGACGGAAAAGTAAAACCTGCAGCTTGAAAAACAGAGAAGGTTGAATGATGCTTAGTTTGTATTTCAGAGACAGCAGATCCAAAAAAGAAAATGCATTAGCATCCAGAAAATAGAGAACATATTCATTTGAAGTTGAACTCCTTCGATTCAGTACGAAAAGCTACAAATATTACAACCACAAAATAACAAAAATTAAAACAATCATAAATCCACAATTTTGTATCCTAGGTTAAAATCATAAAATTCACTCATTAATAGGATTATAGTTTTCCATCTAAACTTACAAAATAATGAAAAGAAAATTTCCGTTCGACTATTGCTTCTCCGACATATAGACTTCTAATGTAACACTTCAGAAATTTAGATTGACAGGATGTTATATGGTGCTGGATTTATAGCGCAACTCAGTACCTGAAGATAGAAGACTATGAAATAGAGATTCTTAGTTTTTGTGTTTGCGAGTAAATGTGGTGGCTACACGGTTGAGAGACACGTTTAAAGTCTAATGTAAAATGACAAAAATATCCTAAACTTTTCCCAAAGGACTTGAAGCAGCCAGGTCGAAACCCTGGCTCTTTTATAATATAGTAAAACTTGAAACTGTAGCATCTAATTCTAACTGGATAGAAAGATTAGATCTCTAAAATTCTTTGGAGGCATGAGAAAGTGGAAAGATTGAAACCTATAATGGGAAACATTGGAGCATAATTCCCTTACTTTGTATACATTAATAAAGAGAATTTTACGAAATTGTCCTAAATTAGTCCTAATTTACCAACCTCTAACCTATAATCATATACTTATCAAAACTAACCAAGTACATATAAAAATTGAAAACCCAAATAAATTAGGATTCTTTCTCTCCAAAAATCACATGCAAAGATCTCCTTCCATATATTTACGCCTGATCAGCAACATTAGATGCAAGACGCAAATAAAATTTCATGGATGAGATAGCAAACAAGGTGATATATATATATATATATATATATATATATATATATATATATATATATATATATAAAAGATTCTAAAAATCTAAGTAAAATGGACCTTTTTCAATGGGTATGGTTGAGATTCATTGAAAGCATATAGATGAGTCAATATACAAATTTTGAAGAAGATTAGAGGTGATCTAGACTGATTTGAAATTTGTAGTTAAAATCAAATTCGAAAAATTCTTCTGTGACACATGTATCACAATCACACACACAAGAATACATGGATATACATGTGATACACATTTGATACAAATATGATACATGTATGATATACAAATGATACACAATGTGATACATATATTATTATTTTTCATGTTTCATCTTCTAATTCGAATTTTCAATTCAAACCACTTCAAAACTCTGTCAAATCATCCCATAGCTGAGATTCAAACTCCTTAAAATGTACACAATCTATTCTAATAACACCCACTCAAAAGAAAGCAAAAATTTTACCTTTTAGCAAGCTACAAATAGCTAATTGACTAATATTGGTATCATTTAGCTAATATTAGTAATATTTAATGAATTGACCATTTTTATAATAATCTACTTATAAATGGACATAGCTGGTAGTTCCCTATTTATTTTTACTCTTTCCACCCTCATTTTGGACTTGAGTTCAGGGGATGGGGCATTAATCTTACTTCCAAGCTCCAAGTTAAGAAAAGAGCCTGCATCTAATTAAGGCAGAAAGAGGATACTTCGTTAACTTTGACGATATATTAGGATATAAAAGTGAATTGAGTTATAATGTTTGGTATGTAAGAAGTTTTTTTGACATTTTTGGCCGGCCATTTGTGTAAAAATTCTCTTTTTCATCAACTAAAATTTCTTCTTTTTTAAGAGAGATTTAGCAATTCAAATCATCCATTCGACTTTTGAATTTACTTTTAAAATCCAAGCAATTTTCAAATGTCAGCATCGTTGGATGAATAACTCTATGAAAGACTATAACATCAAGACGAATACACTTTGATTTTCATAAATACATAGCGGAAAAGTTGATCACATTAAAATGAAACACTTTAATTTTGATAAATGTACCACTGGATACACTTTGAGTTTGACAAATGTATTTTTAATCTAATCGACATTATAACTTAGTGGTTCATTATATCTAATGCTTATATCCCCATGATCAGGGGCGGATCCACCTCCCGACCTACGAGTTCACATGAACTCAATAGATTTTGTCCAAAGAGTATAAATGTGTTCGAAAAATTTACTAAATATCTATAAATTGTTTGAATGTGAACCCAGTTAATATTGAAAGTTTACTCGAGGTATTTGCACGAATCCATAAGCATTAAATCTTGGATCCTCCTCTGCGGCCATAACCTAAGATTATTTTAATATTAATCCTTTTCAAATCTTAAAACTTGTCCTTGCTTAAAAACCATTAGTACTATGGGTGAGTTTCAGGCTTTCAGTTAATGTTCGATTCTAGGTCAAGAGAACAGAGAAATGAAGTGAGGAAGAAGAGAAATCAGAATTGTATTCTTCTCAAAAATCGATCAATACAAGGCTGCACTATATAGTGCTAATATGCCTAACTTCACTAACTAACTAACAGCTCACTTACAGCTGTCAAAACGGCCACTAATAACTAACCAATGTTAACTAATTTAAAACAACTCTCTTCTACTTCTATTGTGTACAATTTAGTCCCTCATATCCCAAGACTCCTCCTCAAGATGGAGAGTGAAATACATTGAACACTCCTAGCTTGGAAAGAAGAAAATAGTGTTGTGCAACACCAAGTCCTTTTGTCATGATGTCTGCTAACTGAAGTTTTGTTGAGATATGATGAGGTATGAGTAGTCCATTTTTTATCTTCTCCCGGACTAAATGACAATCAATTTCTATATGCTTCGTTTGTTCATGAAATATAGGATTTGCTGCAATTTGGAGAGCAGCTTTGCTGTCACAGTAGAGATCAACTGGTTGTTGTAAAGTAACATTCAATTCCTTTAACAAGCCAACTAGCCAGGTAATTTCAGCTGCTACTGCTGCAAGACTCATATACTCAGCTTCAGCTGAGCTACGACTTATTGTCTGCTGCTTCTTGGACTTCCGCGATAGCAAAGACTCCCCCAGTTTTATAACATATCCAGTAATTGACCTTCATGTATTTGGACATGCTGCCCAATCAGAATCACAGTAGGCAGTGAGATGAGAGATAGGACCCTATACCAAGTCCACGTGAGCCTTTGATGTACCTGACTACTCTAAGTGCAGCATCCATATGAGATTGCTTTGGATGTTGCATGAACTGGCTTAGCACTTGCACATCAAAACAAATGTCAGGACGTGTGATGGTCAAATAGAGCAGTTTTCCCACTAACCTCTGATAACTTGCTATATTCTGCAATTCTTCATCTCCATTGTGTCCTACATGTTTGTCATAATCTATGGTAGTCAGTTTCTGATTTGTCTCAATAGGAGTAGAAGCAGGTTTAGCTGCAGCTAATCCTGTTGTAGAAATTAACTCCAATGCATATTTCCTTTGGTTGAGCAGTAGGCCCTTATATGATCTCATTACTTCTATAACCAAGAAATATATAAGTTCCCCTAAATCCTCGACTTTGAATTTGGTATGTAAAGTACTCTTGGCCTCTTCTACTAAGGACAGGTTGCTACTAGTGATTAAAAGATCATCAACATACACCAAGATGATAACAATATCCTGTCCTGATTGCTTACTAAATAAGGAGTGATCATATGCACTCTGTTGGTATCCTGCTCCTAATAAGCATCTGTGAGCTTAATGTTCCATTGTCTCAAAGCCTGTTTCAAGCCATAGAGTGACTTCACTAGTCTGCAGACTTTATTCTCCCCTGGCTTTGGAAACCTTGTGGCAAGAGCATGTACACTTTCTTATATAAATCACCTTGTAGGAATGCATTGTTGACAGCCATTTGATATAGGATCCACCCCTTTGAGGTTGCTACGCTGAGAACAGTTCTCATAGTTACCATTTTAGCAGCTGGTAAAAATATCTCATGGTAGTCTAACCCTTCTTGTTGAGTGTATCCTTTTGCAACTAGTCGTGCCTTGAACCTCTCAACCTCACCATTTGACTTGTATTTGATTTGAATACCCACTTAGAACCAATTGGCTTCTTCCCTTCTGGCAATCCTACCACCTCCCATGTGTAATTTTCTTCAAGTGCTTTAATCTCTTGGTTCATAGCTTCTATCCACCTTGGATCATGTGCAGCTTCCTTAAAAGACTGTGGCTCAGTTAAGACTGAAAAAACACTAAGATAGGATTGATATGCAGGAGATAGATTATCATAGGAGATGACATTAGATGTTGAGTAGGGATTGTTGGTGTGTGTCTTAATAGTAGTGATGTAGTCTTTAAGCCAAATGGAAGGCTTTCCTTGTTACTTCCTAGGTTCTACATTTGCAGATGCTTGTTAAGGATGTACACTTGCTTCCTCTGTTGATTCTAAAGAATGCTCGTGAGCTTCTGTTGCCTCAACTGCTTGTCCAGATTCCGTTGGTTTTGAAGAATGTTGATGGGCTTCTGCTGGCTCAACTGCTTGGTTATCAATGAAATTGCCATTCATTTTATCTGCACTCTCATGTTCTTCATCTGATATGGCACTGTCTAGAACTCTTGCATCATTTGTGGTCTCTCCTGCTGTAGCGGTAATATCTTCAATCTGTGGCTGTATATTCTGATATATAGGTGAAATCACAGTTGGATGTGATTGTTGCATCTCTTTTGCCTCCATTGAATGTTGAGAAGTAAAAAGATCCTCTACATCATCTGGACTTGTAGTATTGCTAAAAAGGAAAAATCTCCTCTTTAAACACCACATCCCTGCTAACAAATATGCTTCTATTTTCAAGATCATATAGCCTATAACCCTTTTGAGTTTCTGAATATCCAATAAGAACAACCTTTCTTGCTCTAACTGTAAACTTATCACCCTTAGGTAGATTACTTGCATAGCACAAACAACCAAATACCCTTAAGTGATCTACCTTAACTGGTTTTCCATATAATAACTCATAAGGTGATTTACCTTGTAACACACTAGTGGGCAACTTGTTTAACAAGTATACTGCAGTTCTTACACAATCACCCCAGAATCTTCTAGGAACTGCAATTTGAAACTTTAGGGTTCTTGCTACCTCCAAGATATGCCTGTGCTTTTGTTCAACCACCCATTTTGTTATAGGCTATATGGACAACTACTCTGGTGTATAATTCCAAGAGAAGCAAATAAAGTATTTCATTGTGAATTGAAGAATTCATTACCATTATCTGATCTAACAACCTTCAGAGTGATTTCAAATTGAGTCTTTATCATTGCAAGGAAGTTTTTTATTACAACAACTACTTCACACTTAGATTGTATTAAGCATACCCAAATAAATCTGCTATAGTCA